GGTCAAGGTTAGGGTCACAGGGTTAAGGCTGGATTAGGCTTAAGGTTAGGGCCACAGGGTTACAGTTAGGATTTTGGGGTCAGGGTTGAGGTTAGGTTTACAGTTAGGTTTGGGGTCGGGGTTGGGGTGACAGGGTTAAGGTTGGATTAGTTTTAAGATTAGGGCCACAGGGTTATGGTTAGGGTTTTGGGATCAGGGTTGGGGTTAGGTTTACAGTTAGGTTTGGGGTCAGGGTTGGGGTCACAGGGTTATGGTTGGGGTTAGGTTTGGGGTCAGGATCTCAGTCCAGGCTGAGTGTGTGCCTGAGGATGTGTGAAGCTGACCCATATCAGCTCATAAAGCTTGCCAATTCCCTGAACTGGTGGTGCTGTGATGGCACAACCCCCCTCAGGAGCTGGGTTTGCTAAGGGTTGTGGTCTCTGCTGGGAGAAGAGAAGCTGTGAGAGCACCAGATTGGAGCTGGGCTTCACGCTGCTGTGGCTCGTGGAGGGAGGTGGCTGTGAGGACAATCAGCTCAGCTCTGGGGCAGCTCTGAATAGCCTAACTGGAGCATTTAAAACAGGGTGAGCTGATGCAAAACACGACCAAAACAACATCCAGAAAAGGAAATTTCTGCCCAGAGCACCCACCTGAAACAGCAAGGCAGCCCTTCAGAGCAGGAGCCCAGGTGACACTCAGGAACTCAGAGCTGGAGCTGGAAGAGGGAACTCTGCACTTGGCTGAGGCCAAACACTGTGAAGCTTTCCTTACATCCATCAGGATGAGCTGCCCTGCACTTGAGAGGCACGCAATGGGCTGAGAGCTCAGCTCAGAGCACGGAGCTCTGCACCCAACTGCCATGCACCAGCACTGCCCACGCTGTGCAGAGGGGATGGGCAGAGCCTGCAAGGGGCTGTGCTGCCGAATATCAGCCAAGCACAGCTGCCCTGCTGTGCAGCACAGCGCTGCTGTGTTGGCATCCAGGAAAGCCAGGCTGCTGAGCTCCTCGCTGCTGCTGGAGGCTGGAAGAGATGAGCAGATCTCAGGTGTTTGAATGGTTGGGTTCTGCTGCAGTCTTGGCACATTTCTAAGCTTTGTCCTCTTGTCTGCACAAACCACAAAGGAACCAAACGTCCTTTGATTGGGGACAACATGAACTGCAGCCCGATTCTTTGCACCAAAACCATCAGCAGAGCTCCTGCAGGGCACGGATCTGAGGCAGAACCCTGAGAACGAGTCCAGAGGAGGCCACTGAGATGGTCAGAGGGCTGGAGCAGCTCTCCTATGAGGAAAGGTTGAAGGAACTGGGCTTGTTGAGCTTGGAGAAGGCTGCAGGGAGACCTCATTGTGGCCTTCCAGTACTTGAAGGGAGCAGATAAATAGGAGGGGGAACGGCTGTTTGTGAGGTTGGATGGTGATATGACAAGGGGGAATGGTTCTAAAGTGAGGCAGGAGAGGTTCAGGTTGGATATGAGGAGGAAGTTTTTCAGCCAGAGGGTGGTGAGGCACTGGAACAGGTTGCCCAAGGGGGTTGTGGATGCCCCATCCCTGCAGGCATTCAAGGCCAGGCTGGATGTGGCTCTGGGCAGCCTGGTCTGCTGGTTGGCAACCCTGCACATAGCAGGGGGTTGAAACAAGCTCATCACTGTGGTCCTTTTCAACTCAGGCCATTTCATGATTCTATGACCATCGAGGGCAGCACAATGAATGTGTGCCACTCGTGTGCTCTCCTTCACACAGCCCCCAAACCTCCCAGCCCTAGGATGTGCTGTGAATACCTGCTATGTACACCTTCTTCTGTGACTCCACCTCTGTGATCTGGGTGCTGCTGAGCCTTGAGCCATGGAGGACCCACGGGGCTCTCGCTGAAATGGTTGCAATTTTTGCCCAGCTCTCCCCAGTGCTATTTTCTGTCGAGATGGCACTTACAGATTTAATAACATCTGTTGGGAAGAGAGAGAAGCAGCTGTAAAATGTGTCGGGTAGAGAGTAATCCACAAGATTACGTTGTTTGGCAAAGATGCTCTGCAAAGCTAAAAGCAACCCACTGAACTGAATGAGAAATCCAATTGTAGCTTTGCCTCCAGCACAAAAATCACTCTTTCCAAGGCATCCAGCAAGGACTGACAGCAAACCTTTATGAATCTAGCAAACCCCATGGAAAGCTGCAGGATCAGGTCAGATATTGGGAACAATTCCTTCTCAAAAGAGCAATCAGGAGTGCCTGTTGGTGGGCAAACCACGTTCCCTTACCGGAATCCTCTGCTGACATCTGCCAAACCTGGAGGGAGCTGTCGGGCGGGCCGCTCGTCACCAGCAAGCTGAGGAAACAAACAGAACCCCACAGAGCTCAACAGGAGCAGGGAGCAGCCTCAACCCATGAGCTGAGGCATGCTGGTTGGGAAGAGCATGGCTGTGCTTTCCCACTCCCTTCCAGGAGCTCCTACAGAGGGTGAGGGAGGTATGCAGCCATGAGGGAAGTCATCCACACAGCCCAGGCATTTAATTAGCACGTTTTCCAAAAGTGCTAGACTAAGAATGGTGCAAAGAGCCCCCAAGAGGGCTTGTGTAGGAGGTGAGAGCTGAATCAGCCAGAAGGAAGTGTGTTTGCTCTGCCTGCAACCATCAGCAGAGAGAACCTTCTGAACCTGCAGGGAGCAGAGGCAGCAGCCACATAAATCCTGGTCTGGGCAGCTCCAGAAAACTCCAGATGCAGAAGGAAAGCATTGGAAAAGGAGCTGCACAGCCAACAGAAATGGTGGTGAGAAGGGCTTTTTGGTGAGCCAACGTGGGGCATCTCTTCTGCAGGAGCTGTGGTGGTGGTGTTGAGTAATGCCACTGGGGTGAGGAGGAAGGAGGCTGTGTGGCTTTTGTGAAGACGAGCAAGAGATGGAGAGGCTGTTCCTACACACCCTGCAGCTTCAGGAGCCTCAACCCCACGTGGTGGGGGAGATGTAGGTGGGCTCTGTGCCACGTGGAGACGGAGGATGGAAAGGCTGTTGCTCCTCCTGAAGATGTGACAAACAGATCTGGTGCCCTTCAAGTGGAGGAGGAGCTGGGCATGGCTTCATGGGCTTCATGGCCATGGCTTCAGGTGAAGCACCTGAGCTGATGGACCCTGTGTCCTGCAGAATCCTGTCCACACATCCCACTGTTAGCCCTGCTCCTCTCCCACATGAGCATCAATGATACCACGGGCAATTTGGGCCCTAGCTAATAGGATTTCAGAGCTCTGGGATGGTGGTTAAGGGTCTGCAGGTCCAGGTCGCTTCCTCAACCCTACAAGCTAATGTAAAGGAGGAGAGGAGAAGGCAGATTTTACAAGTAAGGAATGGGCTGTTTCCATGGCTTCTATACCCACAGGACTCCATTTGAGGGCTGACAACTGAGAGATGGTTTTCATCTCACTGAACAGGAAGAGCAGGAAGAAAACGGGAAGAAGCAGAGCTCTGGGCGCAGTCACGGGGCTCAGCTCTCACTGCCATTGCAGAGATGTGGTGGAACCACTCACGTGATTGAAACACTGCCACGAACAGCCACGTGATCCTTAAGGAAGTCAGACAGGAAGGTGAGGTGGTGGAGCTGCCCTTTACGTGAGAGGACACCTGGAACAAACAGAGCTCAGCCTTGGGATGGACAATACGTGGGTTGAGAGCTGGTGTGAAAGAATTAAAGGACAGACTAAGGAGGGGGTGTTTGCCGCAGGCTGCCTGATCAGGAAGTTGATAAGGTGTTCTTTTATAGACAGTGGTAAGCAGGCTTGTGGTCACAGGGGGACTACAACCATCCTGACATCTGCTGGAGGAACAGCACAGCGGGGCACAAACAAACCAGGAAGCTCCTGGCAAGCACTGATGGAAACCTCCTGACTCAGGTGGTGGAGGAGCCAGAGGGGAGATGTGTGTGGCTGAACCTTGTACCAACAAACAAGGAGGGACTGCTTGGAGAGGTGGAGGCTGGGAGCAGCCCTGGAGGCAGAGACCATGGGACTGTGAAGCTCTGCATCCTGCCAGGGGAAAGCAGGGTAGTGAGGTCACAACCCTGGTCTCCAGGAGCGTTAAACTGAGCCTCTCCCAGGGCCTCCTTGGAAGAACTGAATGGAAACAGGTCCTGGAAGGAAAAGTGAGCCAAGAGAGCTGGTTAATAGTCAAAGATCACTGCCTGCGGCCTCAAGGATGACGCACGACGCACCATGACAGCTCTAAGCACAGCAGCAGCATCCCAACACAGTGCACCCCAACCATTAAGATGTGGTTCTGGGAAGGCCAGTGCTCCCTGCCCAGACTCACAGAGCTGTGTTGGGAAGCAGGTGAGGACAAAGAGCCTCTCCTCCACCCCCCAGTGCCCCAGAAGGACTTTGTTGGCCATACCTGGTGTCTGGCACGTGTTTCAGGTTGTAAACAGGGCGGTTTGAGAACCCTCCACATTCCACCTTGAAATCTCTCTGGGGGCACAGACCCTGGAAATCAAAGGCAAAGTCATTTCTTCCCATTTAATGGCACAGAATGCGGCGTGGTCAGTTAATACACAAAAAGAAGCCTCTGCCTGTCCACTAATGCTGATTTCAACCATAGAATTGAAAGATCCTGATATACTTCAGGGGAAAAGCTATAGATAAAACTCCTGCCAAAAGCTCTGTTGAAGTTTTTTGCTGCCTGTACCAACCTGGCAAAACACCACTTCTTACTTCAGCTTAGACATCACCCACTCCAGGGATAACGCTCAGCACTGTGGTTCCTCAGCTCAGGCATCTCAGCGAGCCCCTTCTGCATCTGCCGGGCTGCAGCACCCACCTGACTCTCCTTTGCTTGCAGTGTTGGTGGTGGCAGCAGCTGCAGGATCTCATTCTTTCCAGAGCACCCATACCCGGCCACGCAGACACCTTGGGGTGACCCAGAGACGCAGTGAGAGATTCCCCCCCTCCCTAAAAGGCACCCCTGAGCTACAGTACTGCCCACCTTGAACCCTGGCCCACCCAGAGCCCCAGCCCAGGCCGAAACTCAATGTGTCCCCAGCCCAGGCACCCTCCCCTTCCACCCATAAGCCCCAGCCCATCCCCATGCTGCCTCTCCAGCCCACTGCACCCCAACCCAACCCTATGGCACCTCTTCTCCCCCATAAGTCCCACTTCAGCCCCATGGCATTTCTCCTCCTCTATAGGCCCCAACCCAGCCCCATGGCACCATTCCTCCTCCACAGGCCCAACCCAGCCCCATGGCACTGCTCCTCTCCCATAGGCCCCAACCCCAGCCCCATGGCACCTTTTATCCTCCATAAGTCCCAGCCCAACCCCATGGCACATCTCCATCCCATTAAGCCCCAACCCAGCCCCACGGTGCCTCTCCTCCCCCACAGGCCCAGCTCAGCCCCATGGCACTGCTCCTCTCCCAGAGGCCTCAACCTAGCCCAACGGCACCTCTTTTCCCCCATAAGTCCCAGTTCAGCCCCATGGTGCCTTTCCTCCACCCTGAGACCCAACCCAACCCCATGGCACCTCTCTTTCCTCATAGGCCCCAACCCAGCCCCATGGCACTCCTCCTCCCCATTGAACCCCAACCCAGCCCCATGGCACCACTCCTCCCCCATAAATCTCAGCCTAGGCCCATGGTGCCTTTCCTCCACTCTGAGACCCAACCCAGCCCCATGGCAGCTCTCCTCCCCCATAGGCCCCAACCAATCCCGTTGGCACCTCCCCCCCAGGCCCCAACCCATCCCCTCCCCCACCTCCAAAGGACCTCAGCCCCCATCTCTCCCCCTCCCCCTCCCCACTCACGTTTCCCCAGGGCCCATTCGATAACGCGGGTGGGAGCCTGGAGCTCGAAGGCGTGCAGAACCTCGTACCTGCAGAGGGACAGAGGGGCGGCGGTGAGCAATCGGAGGGGGAAGGCCGAAGGGCCGAAGTCGGGGGACTCGCTCACAGGTGCAGGGATTGCAGCAACCATTCCTCTTCTTCCTCATCCTCCTCCTCCTCCTCCTCCTCCTCCTCCTCCTCCTCTCCACGTTTCCCCTCCGCCTCCATGGCAACCGCTGCCCGGCGCGTAGCAGTGACGTCACGTGGCGGCGCAGAACAGTGACGTCACGCGGCGGCGCACAGCAGTGACGTCACTCGGCGGCGCGCGCTGAATTGCGGCGTTTTGGCGCCAGGTTGTTTCTCTGAGGGAAGATGGGCGCGACGTCCGTTTGTGAGTCGGCCCCAAATTCCCACGTTTTTCAACCCTCTCATAAAAAAAACCCGACGTTCCCACATCTGTGGGTCATCTTTTTTTTGTAATTCCCACATTTGTGCATTGTCTCTTCATAAACGCTCCCAAATTCCCACATAAATACCCACGTTTGTGTATCTTTCACGAATGAGGCCCCAATTCCCCCTTCTTTGTACCATCTCCTCATAAGACCCAGATTCCCACATTTGTGCGTCCTGTTCCTAAATAAGACACAAATTCCCACCTAAATACCCACATATTTGTATCTTCTGCTCATAAGACCCGAATTCCCACGTTTATGTCTGCTCTCTTCATGAATAAGACCCAAATTCCCACCTAACTTCCTACATTTGTGTATAATCTCTTCGTGAATAAGACTCGAATACCCATATTTTTCTTCCCTCTTCTCATAAAAGACCCAAATTCCCACATTTGCGTGTTCTCTTCCTAAATAAGACCCAAATTCCCACATTTTTGCACCCTTTCCTCACAAGAAGACCCAGATTCTCACATTTGTGTGTCCTGTTCCTAAATAAGACCCAAATTCCCACCTAAATACCCACATATTTGTATCTTCTGCTCATAAGACCCGAATTCCCATGTTTGTGTCTGCTCTCTTCATGAATAAGACCCAAATTCCCACATTTTTCTATCTTTTCCTCATAAAAAGACCCCAATTCCCACATCTCTGTCCTCTCTTCACAAAAAAACCCAACCAATTCCCACATTTGTGGATCATCTTTTTGTAAATAAGACCCAGGTTCCCATATTTCTGTACCCTACCTTCATAAATAAGACCCAAATTCCCACCTAACTTCCTACATTTGTGTATAATCTCTTCGTGAATAAGACTCAAGTACCCATATTTTTCTTCCCTCTTCTCATAAAAGACCCAAATTCCCACATTTGTGTGTCCTCTTCCTAAATAAGACACAAATTCCCACATTTTTGTACCCTCTTCTCCTAAAAAGACCCAAATCCCCCCATTTGTGTGTCCTCTCTTCATAAATAAGGCTCAAATTCCCACATTTTTGTACCCTTTCCTCACAAAATGACCCAAATGCCCACATTTGTGTGTCCTCTCTTCCTAAACAAGACTCAGGTTCCCACTTAAATATTTTCACATCTGTGTATCCTCTCTTCATAAGACCCAAATTCCCACATTTGTGTGTCGTCTCTTCATGAATAAGACCCAAATTCCCACCTAAATATCCACATCTGTGTGTCTTCTCTTCGTAAATAAGACCCACATTCCCACATTTTTGTCCCCCCTCCTCATAAATAAGACCCACATTCCTACATTTGTGTCTTCTTCCTAAATAAGACCCAAATTCCCACCTAAATATCCAAATTTGTGTCATCTCTTTGTGAATACCACCCAGATTCCCACATTTGTGTTTCCTCTCTTCACAAACAAGGCTCAAATTCCCTCATTTGTGTGTTGTTTCTTCGTAAGTTAGACCCAAATTCCCATATTTATGTGTTGTCTCTTCCTAAATAAGATACAAATTCCTATCTAAATATCCACGTTTGTGTGTCCTCTTCCTAAATAAGACCCAAATTCCCACCTATATATCCACATCTGTGTATCCTCTCTTCATAAATACGACTCAAAGTCCCACATTTGTGTGTTGTTTCTTCCTATGTAAGACCCAGATTCCCGTATTTATGTGTTCTCTTCATAAAGAAAACCCAAATTCCCACATTTGTGTGTTCTCTTCCTAACTAAGACCCAAATACCCACATTTTTATACCCTTTCCTCACAAAAAGACCCAAATTCCCACATTTGTGTCCTCTCTTCCTAAACAAGACTCAAGTTCCCACTTAAATATTCATATCTGTGTATCCTCTCTTCATAAGACCCAAATTCCCACATTTTTGTACCCTCTCCTTGTAAATAAGATCCACATTCCTACATTTGTGTCTTCTTCCTAAACAGGACTCAAGTTCCCACCTAAATATCCACATCTGTGTATCCTCTCTTCATAAGACCCAAATTCTCCCATTTGTGTGTCCTCTCCTCATAAATAAGACCCAAATTCCCCTATTTGTGTGTCCTCTCCTCATAAATAAGACCCAAATTCCCCTATTTGTGTGTCCTCTCTTCATAAATAAGACCCAAATTCCCCTATTTGTGTGTCCTCTCTTCATAAATAAGACCCAAATCCCCCCATTTGTGTGTCCTCTCTTCCTGAATTCCTACATGCAGGTGTGGGCTTGCATTCAGAGATCCCCCAGATTGTCCCATATCACCACCACCAGCCCAACCTCTGTCCTTTACACCATTTCAGGGCTCTGAGAGATGGCAGGACGTGTGTTGGGACCGTGCTGCAGGTCAGTGTGAGCAGAAACATGGGGAGCCCACAGGAGGATATTTACCACCATCAGAAATAGGAGGAAAAGCTGTTTATTCCAGTCAATCTAACGTCGTTATTTAAAACAAAACAAAAGCGAAATGGATGGGACAGGCCTGGGAAGCAGGGCTGGGTCCTGCAGAGCCCTCTGGGATGCTGACAAACCTTGGTTTCCTGCACCCTGCACAGCTCAGGAGGACTTCTATGCATTTTCTGGGCTCTCCTGAAAGACAAAATGTGGTATCGCTGTGGTTTATCACACCTTGTATGACATGACGTTTCTGGGGATGCTACGTCTCAAAGGATGCGCTGTACCACAGCCCCTCCTGCCTTTGCTTCTGCTCCCTGAGCTGAGGTTTCCCTCCAGCCCTGCTGCCTCGAGGCTTCCCTGCTGCTCTCCTGTCTTTAACAGCTTTTTGTATTCATCACGTTTGCAGAGATGTAGTGCAGTTGTTAAGTGTGTACCCTCAGCATCACTGCTCGATTTCATCAGCATCCCGAGACAGGGGAGGTTTAGGTTGGATATGAGGAGGAAGTTTTTCAGCCAGAGGGTGGTGAGGCAGTGGAACAGGTTGCCCAAGGAGGCTGTGGATGCCCCATCCCTGCAGGCATTCAAGGCCAGGCTGGATGTGGCTCTGGGCAGCCTGGGCTGCTGGTTGGCGACCTGCACACAGCAGGGGGTTGGAACAAGCTGAATCATTGTGCTCCTCTGCAACCCAGGCCGTCCCGTGGTTCTATGGTACGATTCCCTGCCTGTGCCTCTAAGTTCACTTCTCTGTGATACACAGAGGACTTCTTCAGAGGTTATGCGTCAAGCTGAGACCATTGCTGCTCTTCTTTTTGTTATGTTTTCCAGTTCCGTGCCTGTTTTCTTTTTGTAACTAGAAGAGAGAGGATTTATATCTTTTTTCCAGCCAGTTTATCCGTGGGAAAGCTGGTCTGATGCAACTGCAGCAGCTTTGGTGTAGTTTGGGTGAGCTGCATTCCTGCAGCACAGCACGGCTCGCTCAGCAGCAATGGACACTGCAGGAAAACCCCATGGCCTGAGACTGGAGCTGACCCTGCTGCCTGGCAGCCCCTGCTGGCCTCTGCTATGTCTGACTCTCATCATTTTTTTTTTTTGGGGCGGGGGGGAGCGGAGGGAGAAATCTTGTCTTTCTTCAAACATAGACAGCATTCTAATTTCTGACAAGAACGAATGCTTTGTTTGGGCTTTGTGCAGCTGTGCTGTCACACTAACGTCAGCTCTTGGAGCAGTCAGCCCGAATGCACTGCTATTTATAGGAACCTGGTATTTTTACATTAAACTCTCTTTTGGCACAAATCAAAACAGTTTTCTGCAGGGATACTGAGAAGTATTTGTATCCTTTGGGTGCGTCCTCACCTCTCAGCTTGCACCAGCAGAACCAGAGGAGCAAGAATGGCTGGGAAAGGACATAGATGGTAGGAAAGCAGCCAGAAGCTGCTGTTTCCCAACCCCCACCCCCGCTTCAAGAGTGTTAGTTTTAATGGAGATGGGAGCACTGCTTACCAGTTCTGGAGGAGGAGGAGTGGAGTTGTTTCTTTTGTCCCATCTTTGACGTCGCCACCTATAAAATAAAGTGCTCAGTGACCGTTGGAGTGGGGTTTTGTGCAGGATGAGGTGCTGCTGTTTAAGGACAAAAGCAAAGCAGTAAGAGGATAAGGGAGCGCTTATCTTCTGTACGCAGTGCAAAAATCTTTCTTTTCTCAACTCTTTTCTTCATGGAAAGAAGTGAAAATCAAAGAAAGAGGTAAAGCAACTAAGAGAAAAAAAGGAAGAGCTGATTGAAAAAAGTAAAAGTTTTTGAAAAAGTTAGAAGTTAGGCAACAATTTTCAGTTCAGAATTTCTATGGGGAAAAAAAAAAAAAGCCAGAATGGGTTAAAAACAATGAAGCTCTAGCAGCCATTTCCAGGTAAGAAACAGCAGTGAGAGAAATCTGTTCCCAGCTCAGGACATGGTTGGTTGCATTACTCCACATGGGAAGAAACCGTAGAATCACAGGATCACTGAGACTGGAGAACATCTCTCAGGTCCCCACGTCCAACCTCAGCCCATCGTGCCCACCCACCACATCCCTCAGTGCCACATCCCTGTGGTGCTGGGACAACCCCAGGGACGGTGACCCCAACCCTGGGCACCCTGAGAGCCTGGGGTAGGGATTGCTGATTGCTGGAGCACTCCTACCTTTGGATATACTTGGCAATATCAGCCCTCTTGTACAGCAGGATGCCCAAAATCAGGGTGAAAAGAAGCAGTGTTCCAACAGCTTTGACCGTAGCTCCGTACACTTGGAAAGGAAAACGAAAAACATTGCATTCTGCACACACAAAACATGCTGGTAAGGAATGGCAGCTCGTCAGGTATTCCCCAGTTGCACAAAGGATCAGGAGCTCATGTGCCTGCCCTAGGAAGCCTCCCTGATAACCTAAGTGGGAGCTACCAGTGTTCTCTTCTCTCTCAGGAGCAAGCAGAAGCCGTGAGGTGTTTCATCAAAGAGAGTAAAGTGATGCTAAACAGGCCTGGGACTGCATTGTGAGGAGGTTGAGGACATCACACACAAGCAAGGCAGCTTCCCAGGACACACAAAGAAGGGCACGGAGGTGAAGAAAGACCCAAATATAGCCAGAAAGGTAAGTGGTTTGAGCTGAACGACGCTGACGGTTGAGGCTTCAGTGTGTGGGTAGAGTGTGGATAAAGAAAGGTGGGAGGTTGTTTGTAGGGAAGGTGTGAAAGGGTTCGCTCCTTCCAGCATGCCTGAAGAGCCAACACGGGGACACCAGCTGGAGCCTAAGCATCAGCATCAGCCATTCTCCGTGGACTGGGGAGCACAGCACGGCCCCTTGGGTCCCTTCGTCTCCATGCAAAGTAGGTGAAATATCACAGTGATATTGGAGGAACAGCTGATGGGAGGTATAGAGTGCTAACTGCTCCGATGAGTTCGATTTCTGCAGTGCCAGTGGGCCCATTGCTGCTTCATTTGCCATTTGCCCGGCCAAGCAATCAGCAGAAAGAGCTCAGAGCTCTTCATCATCATCAGGACCGATGGGCAGAGAGGGCCAGGGAAGGGCTTGAAGGCCGTCTGTGGTCAGGAGCCGGGGGCTGTGCAGCTCTGCTGAGTGACTGTGTGGTTTTGTTCATCAGCAAGTCGTTACGCCTAATAGATGGGAAGGCAGAAGAGCATCTCTCAGGGGTACGTGCCCGGAAAATATTTATTTATGCCCTGTCATCCCAGGATTGGAGCTCTGCTGGAGATGTCTATTAAGAGGAGAGGAAAATTCTCCTAAGAGGGTTCTGATGAGCTCAACAGACACTCCTCATCAGCTGTCTTAATGAACTGTGTGCTGGCTGCTTGGCCCTGGTGCTTAATGGAATCGATCTGCAGTTCCTGTGGGTGCCCTGGGAGTAGCCAGAGAGAGGGCAGGCAGGGCAAGCACCGCTGCACTGATAAAAAGGAGGCAAGATAAGAGGAAAAGAAGAGAATAAAATGGAATAAGATTGGAGTAGAATTAAAATAATGGAGTAGAATAGGGTAGAGTTGAGCAGATTATAGAAGGTGGAAGGGGCCTACGAAGCTCAAGTTCAATCAAATCCAAATCTGATATGGCTAAATAGCAAAGGGAAAAGAGATGCCTGAACCGAGGCTCGAATGATCTGAAAGCACAGGTGGAAAGGTACCAGGCTTGCTCAAGAGAAAACCATGCTGAGAGGCGGTGTGATGTGCAGAGTGGTTGCACCACACCCTGCACTTTGCTCACCATAGTAAGAAGGAGGTGGTCCGCTGTCAACGCTGCCTCCAAACCCTTCTGCCCTGCAGTCTGGAGGGGCCCATCCCGAATCACAGTGACAGTTGTTCTTGTTGTTGCAGACCTGAAAGAAAATGAATGTTTTTACAGCATGAAAAATGCAGCAGTCATTTGGTGACCCCAGGGGATTGGCCTCCAGCATTTCATCTCAGGACCAGCAGAAGAAGGCAAGATGGAATCCACACCCTGAGGCAAATTTGTCACTCTCCTTTGGCAGCCACCGTGGAAATGTTTAACCTCTGTTGTGTGCAGGTGGCAGACGGGTGCCCCGGACACAGCTGTCACAAGCTGTGTGTTTGCTCTGTTGGTGACGTGAAAGCAGCAGGAGCTCCCCATCCATCCCTGCACCCTCTCGCTGTGATGATGGTCCTGCAGAGAGAGGCTGCAAACACAGCAGGAAGAGCTGACAGCGCACAGAGGGTGAGAGATGGCTGCGTTCGCCTTTCTCCAGCTTAGCAGGAGTGCTTTCTGTGTGTCTGTGTCTGTTTTCATCTCGACGTCAGAAAGCACTTTTGCAGCCGTTGCTGCTTGCAGACCTGCCCTCCTTTTGTGATGCTGTAACTGTTTCTGCCATGACAACGCAACATTTCACAAATGTGTCCCAAATGAATTTGTCACCTTCGTGTGATTCAAAATGAAGATAAAGACAGACAGAGGTGATGGCAGAACTCTCCTTTAACATCCACGCTGACATCCAGACAGATCTGCTCCTCTGCAGGGATATCTGTCTGAAAAGAGGGACAGGTACGGGTGGCATCATAAATAAACCCCTGTGTGAAGAAATTCTGCCAGTGTTACTGCCTGAAACATGGATAAAACCCTACTACATCGAAACGTTGTACAAAATCTGCCATTTCTGTGGCATTTGCAAGGAGAACAGTGTTACCGAATCGAGCATGCATTTTTCAGAAGATCTCTCCAACTCTGGCTGATTTAGATTCAGCAGCACTGACAGCTGCACTGAAGGATGAAACATTACAATGTAGAAGTCACTTTTTGCAATCTTTGTGGGAACGAAGAAGAAAAATGGCAGAGGAAGGCAATGAACACTGCGATGGAGGGCTGCAAGCTGTCAGAGCAGGATCCGGAGGGAAGTCATGTGTGGAAACCAAAATAATGTTTGTGCTGCTGAGCCAGGAACCATTCTGGACCTCTACATTGCTTTGAAAGGCAAATTTACATTTCACATACTCTACCCTTCAAAGGACAGTTAGAGGTTTTCTACCTACCCCTCTGCCATGGCATTTTTTCGCTGTACAAATGCTGCTGAGAAAAGCTGCGCTGACACACGTCCTGTTGATGCATATCTGCAGGAAGAGGCAGATTGTTGTTAGTGACAAGGTAAAACGACAGGTATTGGGGAGGGCACTGACTGGTGAAGTGGGATGAAATCATGGAGTCAGTTCCTTTTGTTCAGGGCTTTCCTTTCCCTCTCTCTAAAGAAGCAACAGGGGAAGGAATAGGAGCAAAAAAAGGAAGATCTTGTGTTTCAAGTCCGAGACAAACCAAAGGGGAGGCTGAAGAAATCCAACTGAGCATCACAACGTGCACAGAAACCAGTTCTACTTCAGGAGTCATTCATTTGCTGCAAAAACCTGTGCGAAGTACCCCATGTGCCTCTGCTCTGCTCACACCTCTCCTTCAATACCTGCCCAAGGCCAGGGAGGATGGATGGGTTTTGGATGGACCCCTCACAACCACCCTGGTCTTCGTAGATGTGCGCTCAGTGAATAACGTGGAGCATCCTCGTGCCTTTATGAGGCACACAGATGTCTCCTCTGGGCAGGAGGAGATTTATTTTCAGCCTTTGGCCTTGCAAATTAATTGGTTTTGCAATGACTGTGGTGAGAGGTATGGGACCCAGCTCTTCTAAAAGGGGAACTCTACCAAGAGCTCCTTCCCTTCGGTGGAACTCAGCATGTGTGTTTTTCTCAGAAACCTTCTCTGCCATATGGTAGCAAGAAATGCTCCTTCAGTACGTCACAGCCTTGACAGGACTTTGGCATTCTGAGTGCCTCACAGGGAAGAAATGAGTCCTATTCTTGGAAGAACATTTGAAATGCTTTTGTGTGCACAACAAATAAAGGTTGACTTTGATTGGTTGCTTCCAAAGAAGCGGAGAATCTTTTACTTCCCTCTTCTAATGGAAAGACAGCTGTGTGCTGCCAACAACAAAAGCTACGACGATATAGTGCTGTTTTTCAGCTGCTAAGGGAGGCTTCAACAGAAGGGGGCTGACATCAGAGGTCATGAGTGTTTTCTTTAGGAAGAAAATCCTTCCCTTTTATCCCTGTTGTGTTCTATTCTAGCTATCTGTGTGTACCTTGTTTGTACCACACGACGTGCCGTCCTTCACCGAGCCATCGTCAGGCGTGTCGAAAGGCAGGTGGAACTCGAGCCCCCAGCAGAGCTGGTTGCTCAGGAAGGTCTGGACCACGGTCTCGCCATCTTGCCGGACTGGAACTCTTTTGATGTTAGTGCACTGCACTCTGCCACACAGAATGTTCCTGAGATGGACAGACAGACAGACAGACTGCTGCAAGGTCTGCAGGGACGTGAGAAGGCGCAGTGATCCATGCTGCTGGCTGGTATTGACACGGACCCTCCTGCCAGCTGGTGCTGGTGCCTTGGGACAGACAGGCACAGCCTTTTGGGACCTTTAAAGAAGTTGCAGAGATGCTTCCACTTGTTGTTTTGAGCTTTGCTTTTCATACCTTTCGCCTATTTTTCATAAAGCAAGAGAAATAATGATATTTATGCTGGGAGGATTTAGGTATCGTTCTTCCAAAGCTCATCTCTGTGGCCAAAGGTGGCAAGAGTGAAGCTCAAGTTCTGCTTGTGCAGTGCTCAGCGTGAAAAGTGGAGGTAAGCTGAATTATGAATTTTCATTCTGGTGTCTGCTCCAAGGGCAGCAGTGTGCCAATTGCTGGTGAAACACCAAAGTGCAAGCATGAAGAAAGGCAGGGTAGGCAGAGAATCATCAAATGGCTTGAGTTGGAAGGACCTTGAAGATCATCTAGTTCCAACCCCCTGCTGTGGACGGAGGTACCACCCAGTAACTGTGCATAGGGAAAATCCCCAAGGTAAACAAATCTCCTTTGTCTCAAACCATTATCCTGATCAAATCCTACAGGACAGGGATGGGAAGGAAAGTCTGGAGAGTGATATGCTGAAAGGCGGAGGACAGCGCTGTGTACGACAGTGTCCTCTCTAGAGGTGTCCTTCCAGATGTGCTTTCAGGACATACCGACTGATGACAGCTGCAAATGTTGGCAGTGCTGAAAGGAAATAGCACTAAAGGTGGAAGAAAGAAAAAGGGAGTTGGAGAACAACTTCTCAAACAGAAAAGGAAAACACGGCCAATTGACGGGATGACCCCTTGGAGAAGGAAAGCTGGGAACCTGTTGTGCCCAAATCCCAACAACAAATCAGGCTGAATATCTCTCAGAAAGAGGGTCTGAGTGCCTCTGGTGGCACACACTGGGGTGGTGCCCATGCTCTGTTACCGCGCTGCTCACCCCTCCAGGCACTTGGTGTAGTGCGTGCCGTTCCAGCCACAGTTCCCACTGCGGTCCCCTCGGAGGTTCACATCCCTGAAGCAGCTCAGTGGGGCACGGTGGGCGGCTGCAGAGTGGGAGAAAGGAGGAGATTGTTGTGGTGAGGCAACTCCTGATGGTTTTTGTGGGTGTACTAAATGGCCTGATGTATTTTATGGATTTTTTTTTTCTTTGTCTTGTTTTCCTCCTTGTTTTGACTGTAATGAAGTGGCTACGTGGAGAGATTTGCTGCAAGAGAACAATCAGTGGTCAGAGAATGGACCATGCTCATTTGTCTGGAATAATCCAGAGTAGAAGATTGGAATAAAGACTGTAAATCTCTCCAAAGCCTACTTCTTTTCTTTTTTCCTTCCTTTTTTTTTTTTTTTTTCATTATAACAAATGTGCCAGTGTATCTTAGATTTACCCTGAAACCAGAATCCCTACCGTTATGCTCTGTATTAACAGTAAGGATTCTTGTCAGACGTCAGAAACAATTCCTAGATTTGGGTTTCAGCAAGACAGAACGACTTCCAACCCAGGGACCCCTTGTTTTTTTCAGAACATCCTCATATTCACCAAGTGTTGCCTACAGCGTGACAAACACTACTGCCTTCATTTGCAAGGGTTACAGCTCTGCAGACTCCAAGCTTCTTATAGATGTGGTCGAGCACGGAGGAATGTGGTTTTATTTGCAGAAGACTTGCGTGTGCTCATAATGAAACCTACAGCTCGAGTCCTGGTGGTCACTGCTGCTGTCAGTGAGGAGGAAGTGCAGAGTACATCTGCTGTGCCACAGCCTTGGGACGTGGTTTGGGGAAATTTGGTACTTCCTACAGAACTGAGATAGCCTCAAAGAGGATGTGGGCATGCGTTACACTTCAAGTTAGAACTGGGGGAAATGTAGATGCACAAATTGAGAGTGCTGCTGTTTTCAACGCTGCATAAGAGGGGTTTCAATGGCTGTTTTCGTCACACATTTATTTCTGGTTCTTCTCTACTGAGAAGTGCCATTCCCTTGTCCCACTGAGTGTGAGATGCACCTGCAACAGGTAATGCCTGAGGAAACCACATTTCTGCTGCCCTAACTATTGTAAATAAATATTTTCTACTGCCTTTAAATACATGTTGCTTCACCTATATAGTTGTGTAGCTACTACTATAAAATCCTGGGGCATTTCAAAAGTATTCTGTAATAATTCCCTCTTATCCTCCTCTCCCCCAGGTGCTCAGCCCCAGGGCGCTCAGCCTGACCCCACCAGGATCTGCTCCAGGCCCCCACCATCTCTGCACCCTCACTGTCACTCCACAGCAGTTCCCTTCCTGCCTGGAGCTGGGGAGACCAGCACTGGGTGCAGTGCTTCTGATGTGGCTCCCCCAGTACAGAGCAGAGGGAAGGAGCACCTCCCCGTCCTGCTGCCCACACTCTGTGCACACTCTGATTCCTTATGTGAGTGATCTTGCCTTTGCCAAATAAAGCCTTGCACTGCGCCTCGTGGCTGTGGCACTGCCCTTCGTAGCAGCGGTCGTTGTTGCCACATGGAGTTCCATCTTGCTTAAAAACATCCACAGGGCAGCTGGCTGACTTGCCATTGCAGTACTCTGGCAGATCACATTCGCTCTGGTACGCTCTGCAGATTTTTCCTGCTGGTTGAAACTATGAGGAGAGGAGAGGAGAGGAGAGGAGAGGAGAGGAGAGGAGAGGAGAGGAGAGGAGAGGAGAAGAGAAAAGAAAAGAAAAGAAAAGAAAAGAAAAGAAAAGAAAAGAAAAGAAAAGAAAAGAAAAGAAAAGAAAAGAAAAGAAAGAGGCAAACATTGGTTCCCCTGCACTGTGAGTGCAGCGGCAGTGCTCACGCCGTGGCTCACCCGACACTTGCGGCAGCATTCTCCCCTGTAGCAGGAAGCTCCTGGGGCAAGCATGCAGTTGGAGAAGCAGCATCCTTCCTTGAGGCATGCCTGGAAGTAAACCACAGCAGAAGACTGTGGCATTAGTTTCTTGTCAGGACACCTTCTCCAGCATAAAGGATCATATAATCAAAGGAATTTATGGGAAGGAGAAGCCTGCTCTTTTCTGCTGCTCTGCAAGCACTTGGCTTTCTGGAGTTCTCTGGCACAGGGAAGGACACCTCATGTCAACACTTCTGAAACAATTCCCATTTTTCTCTCGAGATGAACACTTCCATCTCATCTCTGCTCATCAGCCAACCTGCACACTGCACAGGGATGCTCTAAGAATAGGTTTGTTGGTGCTTCCAGGGTGCTTGGAAACCCCTCTGAGCAGACAGGAGAGCTCATTCTCCCTTTCTGTCACTTTTCCCTTCTTTTGCCCTTTCCTTCCTTCCCTTTTTCAACTCTTCCAGCTATAATTCACCTCAAAATTCCAAACTCTCCAAATCCTTCTTGATGTCAGAGCTGATGGACTCCGTTATCTTAGTGGCCTTTTCCAACCTTCATGGCTCTATGATTCTGTGACCCTGAACTTTGTCCCATAAACAAAGTCAATGAGTTGATTTTAAAGATACCTGGTGTATCCTTAAAAAAGAGAGATCTTCTCTTAAGCTCTCCTTACATAGCAATGGCTTTTGAGCTTAAGGAGGGGATTCAGAAACTGTGATGGGTTATTACACAGGTACACAAACCAAGAGGAGGATGGAACAATGGGGCTTTTGCAAAGACCACAGCTCCCACATTGCTGGCAGAGAGCAAGACTTTGGGTCACCTGGAGAGACCAGACGTGTAATGTGTTATTTTAGAGGGAAGGTAAGATGCTGTTAAAACTTTTTCTGGGTTGTTTTAGGGGGATTCTGAAGGGGTGGCTCAGGGAAAAGACCGAAGGAGGAGAGAAGTGAAGGTGAATTAAGGTGGAATAAACGTGGGAGGTGGAAAAGAGAGTGGTAAAAGGAGCTGTAATGGAAGAAAGCTCCGGGTTGGTATGCTTGACCCCATGTCTGATGGAGGAGAGGAGCTCTGGGAGCAGCTATCAGGGCTCTGGGGGTAGGAGTTGGCTTTTCCTGAAGTGGACCCCTTAGCAGTGAAGTGCAGGGTGTTCTGCCTATGCCTGTATCTAGTGCACATGTAAACCACTCTATGGGGACACGTCAGGGTGAAGGCTGCATTTTGATTAAGTGGCAGGAATGACAGTTTCACGGATTGTATGTGAGTTTTTTGCTGGAAAATTCAGCCTTGCTGGAGTGTTGCAACTGCACGGGTTATAGCAGTGGAGATACACCAACGTGCATAAATACAATAGAAAAAATAGAACAGGAACAGAAAAGCTCTTATTTTATAGGCAGGAAGATGGCGAGTGGTAATAATCTGCCTGTACACAGAGCAGCTTGGATGCAAGGACGTGTCCTTTCCGCAGAGCCCCCCAGAAAGCCTGTCTGAAAACCCTCACTTTGATGATCATTGGTGCAGCTTTTACCATTGCGAGGGCACTGCAGTTTCACCAGCGCCATTCTGCCATGCAGACTGTGGTGGAACACTGAATTGCTCACCTTGTCACTGCCACAGTCACATTCTTCTCCTCTTTCCAGGACGCCGTTGCCACAGAGTTCGAAAAGGGATGGTTTTAAAGGCGGTATGTTGAGCAGGCAAGGTTTGTTTTTTCTTATTACTTCCTCGTAATATTCCTTCAGAGTGCAGTTACTGAATGCCAAGCAAGATCTGCAAGAAAAAAAAATGATTATGTCTGTATAACCATACCACATACATATACTTGGTGGACTCAAAGAGGTTGCTGTTCCAATGGATGATGGCGAAAGCTGAAGGAGCAGAGGGCCATGAAATGCAGTTCCCCAGCTTGCTGAGGTCTTTAGCCCATCATAAGCAGAAGCAGGACTGCTGATGACTCCCTCTGAAATGCATTTCAGGTAATTTTAGTTAATTAGTGGAATGATTTTTCTTCATTATGGTCCTGGAACAAGAGAGAGGGTGGGAGCAGCATCTCCTGCCACGTGCAAGGTGACTTTCTGGAAGGTGTAAACGTGTAGATGTAGTACTAAGGGCCGTGGCTTGGGGGGGTTATATTGGTGGTGGCTGGATGGTTGGACTGGATGATCTTGGAGATGTTTTCCACCCTTGGTGATTCTGTGGTTCTAAGATACTCACCCAACTGCGAGCCAGCAGCAAGCAGCACTTGGAGAAAGCAGGTGGAAAATGAACAGACAGTTAATGCACCACCAACGGGAGCCAAGAAGAGGAGTTTGCTGTGGCTGTGTGTCTCAGGGAGAGCTGGGATCTCCTGTCTTATCTACAGCAGCCACACGCGCCTGCAGAACCCCAGCAGGCAGTCGAAGGTGGGCGGCAGAAGGCAAGCACCCAGATCCCACCCAAAGCGAGGGAGGGAAAGCCAGGCTTCACTCACCCTGGGTATGATCCCATGATGCATCCCCTCTGGGTGCAGTTGCAGTCACAGGATTTGTACTGAAATTGTTTCCTGTCATCGTGGTTGAAGCCCAAGCTGTGGCCGATCATGTGCGCCAGGGTCATCGCATTTTGGACAGTGTCTTGGCCAGAGAACTGCAGGAGAACAAACACAAGTCCGTGCCTTCTTGAGCAGGGGGTGCGGAGATGCTCAGAGCCAGGCTTCCAGCAATGTGAAATTTGTGCCAACTGGGAGCTCTTCTCCAAATGAGGGGTCGGGCATTGGCACAGACTGCCCAGGAGGTGGTGGGGGCATCTTCCCTGGAGATGTGGCACTGAGGGGCTGTGGACCATGGAGATGTGGCACTGAGGGACTGTGGACCACAAAGATGTGGCACTGAGGGACTGTGGATCACAAAGATTGACATTGAGGGACTGTGCACCATGGAGATGTGGCACTGATGAACATGATTTAGTGGCAGTGATGGGTTGGGGTTGAGGATGGGGATCTTGGAGGTCTTTTCCAACCTGAATGATTCCACGATTTGATCATTCTGTGAAATTGTAAGTACTACATAGGAGTATGGTTTACGGGGGGAATATTATGGTCTGTGAGGTCTCTCCTTACCGAGACGACGCCAACGGAGTTGGGCTGGCACATCGTCCCCTTCCAGGTAAAGCCCCACTCCTTGTAGTGCTCACCACTGCAGCAGAGAGGTTTGGGCATTAGAGAAACTATAAATTCATCACAGCGACAGGACACATTGCTGGGGCTACAGCTGGAAAATAACAGCTGCAGGTAGCAAGGATCTTCTTTCTGAAAGCAAAATCCGTGGGCATCCTTTCAGCTTCATGCCAACCCCTTGGGCTGGCTGTGTGGCTTCCCTTCCCTGCTGAATGAGCACGGACACATGCACAACACGTGTCTTAATATTATTTCTTTCCTTGCAAAAAGAAGTCAGAACAGGAGCAAAGTAAGAGGTCTTAAAGAAAGCAAACAAAGTAAGTGTTTAAACAGCTTGCAGGCTGAGCTCTGACTCCCCCATCCAAAGCTTTAATTCAAATATTGGGTTGTAAACCACCTGAGAATGGGTTAGTGAGTCTAAAAAATGAATGGCCAGTCCACCTATGAGATTATAATAATTCAGTTACGGGCAACTGTATTGAAATTGGAAGAAAGATGTACGCTATGTGTACGTATCTGTGGGAAGCCATAAAAGAGGACAAGGAAAAGGAGGGGCAACGTAATTAAAATCCTCTGTGTACCAATTTATGTGACAAATGCGTGCTGATTAATAACACGGGCTAAGCTGGAAAATCTTCTCCTGTAAGATACCACCAGGACAAAAGGCCGATGAGCATGAAGAGGCAGGAATTAGGAAGGCTGGGGAGGAAGCCATCCTTACAGCAGCAGCTCCACGTGGTCGTAGCCGAGGCGATCTGCAGCATCCTGCTGGCACCAGCTGCTGAAGAACTGCAGTGTCTGGGACAGGCTCTGCCTGGCCACAACCTGGTCTTTTGTGGTCCACATCTCCACCGCGCTGAGGACGACCTGCAGCTTCATGCTCCTGTAGACCTGCGGGTGGCAAGGGCTTGGGTTGGTATGCTGGTAGGAAATGGCCTGGAGTTGCACCAGGGGAGGGTGGAGGTTTGGAAGAAGTTCGCCGTAGTGAGGGCCACTGAGCACTGGAATGGGCTGCTCGGGGAGGTGGGGGCATCCCCACCTCTGGAGGTGTTTGGGATGTGGCACCAAGGGACGTGGTTTGGTGCTGGCATTTGATGTGGGAGGTCTTGGCCAACCTAGACAGCTCTGTGCTTCCTATTCCAACCTCAGTGCCTCTGCGATCCCATCGTCCTGCCTCTCTCTGGGACTCACTCAGGAGCCAAGCTCCAGAGCCAAGTGCTGGTGGCCGAGCGCCGTGTTTGTTTTCCTGCATTATGGTAATGCAAGAGGGCTTTCTGCCGAGCTGGGAGTGACTGAGCTTGTGGCTGCCGCCCCAGTGCCCCATCAATGTTCTTTCCAAAGGTTCAAAGCAAGATAATGAAGAGAGAGGGAGAATATAATGAGCTACCAGGAAGCATTTAGCACTGATAATGCGTATTCCATCAAGCAGCTTGAAGGGGATAATTTCAAAATTATTTCTCAATTGGCTTCACTCACACTTGAAGCAATTTTTTTTTTAGCCGTGGAATTGGGTTTTACATCATTCAGGAGCTCGTTGCTGCCTGGCAGGGTTTGCAGACACAGCAGCCATCCCCTCCCCAGGCTCCCGGCTTGGCACCGAGCGCTGCTGGCATCGTCCCATGGGAGCTCACCGTGTTCAGGATGTTGCTGATGGAAACGAAGAGGTGCAGCATCAGGGTCTCGTTGTGTCTGTTGGCTTTGAACTGGAAAGGGAGAAGGGACGAATTACGACCTCGGGGTGCAAACAGGAAGCCCCACAGATCCCCTCAGCTGCTTCCCAGCTGTGCAGATGTGCAAAGATGCATTAAATACGGCACGAAGGGACGCAGACCTGGATCAGAAAATAACCACACGGGAAGGATGTGAGCTGATGGCACACTGCACAGCTGCCCAGGGAGGTGGAGGTCACTGGGGGAGTTCCAGAACCATGGGGATGTGCCACTGAGGGATGTGATGGGATGGGTTGGGCTTGGGGATCTTGGAGGTCTTTTCCAGTCTTTGTGATCCTATGACCCACGGGGTGGGGTTTGCCACCCCAGTGAGGCTCTGTTGTTTTGGGAAGATGGCTTTTGGCGTGGACAGGAGCCTGCTCATTCAATGAAATGATGCAGGGAAAGGTGTGCTTGCTTGCAACAGCCTCTGTTGTACAAAGCCCTTTCCAGGACCTGCATTCCCATAGGACTGTTTGACACATCGTTCCGTTCAAATGAATATGAGTGTCATTCTCAAATGCTCAGATCAGTCCCTGAGCACAGCAGTCAGTCCCCAACACTCCTTTTAAAGCCGTTTCTTCTTTCTCAGCCTCTGATTACAGCAGTGCCTGCATTGCACGCTGCCTAAAGAAGTGCTTGGATTTGCTGCACGTGAATGGTGGGTTCTTCTCTAAAGACAGTGGGGCATTGCTGTGCCCTGTTTGCAGAGGAGGCGTTCGGTGCCTCCAACACAACACAACGGCCATAGCAAAGTACCACGGCGATGGCAGCTGGCGCTCACCAGCTCCTTGTTGGTGATCAGAGCTAATTCCAGGTATCTGGTGGACATGGACAGGATCTCGAGATCGAACACCTCCTGCAAGAGGGAACAAATGACACAAATCAGATACCAGGGGCTGCACAGGGCTCTGGAGCTTCGCAGACACGAGGTGCAGGATTTCCCTGGTGATCAGAGCACAAGAACACAGGGACTACGTGATAGAGAAGGAGAAACATTAATGAGTGCAATGAGCCATCAGGGACAGAACAGAGAGATTCAGAGACAGAATATGGTTATAGATTGGGTATCATTGCCCATCTTCAACTTTCGCATGATTTTCCTATTGCTCAGACCATGAAATGCAGCACCAAAAAGCTGTTCTGCACCCGAGCTCTGCTCTGCCCATCAAACAGCAGGAGGCCAGCAGCTCCTTGCTGTGAGACTCCAAGTGCTCCTGGACTGAAGCTCCAGCCACTGGGAAGGCACTGGAATGGCTCTTGCTTCGTTCTGTTTGGCTTTGATGTCCCCAGAGCATCAACATATCACAGCAGTGGGAGCCCACCGATGGCAGGTGCTCAGCCTTGGGCTTCTGCACTTTGTACATTGATTGCTGTCAGCAATTGGTTAATGCATGATCTTCCACGCATCATCCATGCTGCAAAAGACCTTCAATGCCATCCAGTCCAAACATCAGCCTTGATGGCAGCAGCATCTCACCTCTGCAAAGTGTCACCTCACCACGGGGACGTCCTAAGCCCAGGATGGCATCTTTGGGTTCAAAGCTTTGCTTTTGGGAGGTGGAAAGTCCTTGTAGGTGTTCCGGAATGCTGCAGTGTGGTCTGCAGGGCTTGAATGCAATCAAAGCACTGGACAGTTTCACTCCTGATTTCTTGCCACAAATGCAATCACAACGTGCTGGCATTGGCCAGGCTGGAGCTGTCAACAGTCCCTGCTCACGGGCACAGGAATGAGACTCAGCTCTCCTGACACAAGGGGCAGAGATAACAAACGTCCTCACCAGCCCCAGAAGCGCTGACAAAGCAAATCATTGCTCTTTCTTCTTCTGAAAACGAGCACTTGAGCAATATCCCGTATCAGAAGATGTAGAACGAACCGATCTGCTCTGAGAAACCTGGGGTGGATGTTTCTGACCGGCAGAGGAGTGGCAGATGTGTTTATGCTAACAGCACTGGAGCTGTAATGTGAGCGAAGCATGGCAGTGCAGCACTCCCTGATGCTCATAAAACCCAGCCTTGAACGTAACCCGCGTGCACTGAACACGGTGCGATGCTGAGCCAAGCAGACAGAGTGGCCGTACCTCTATGCTGAGGATTTCCCTGCTCCCGTTGGTGTGGTCTCCATCCTTGGCTGGGTGTCCCACGGGCAGTTGGCACGGTGGGACCCAGCCCTCTGCTGGCTCTGTGCGATAGATGAGGTGCTGGAACGTGGAGGAGTTCTGCACCGGCTGCACCTCGTACTGCAGGTCCCCCATCTGCAGAATTCCTCTGGGTGTTCAGACAGAGAGAGGTGAGAAGTTTGGCTTCTGAAATCGGTTAGTAAAGGGAAGAAGAAACCAAGTGGTGGAAGGGTGGGCTGACCCGAGGGTTTGGGTCATCAGACAGAAATCCCAGCTGTCCGTACTCTGTATGTTTGGGAAGGGTGGGATGAGAAAAATGTCCTTTTGCAGCACTGAAAGGAGGCTGTAGTGAGGGGGAGGTCAGGCTCTGCTCCCAGGTGACAGCAATAGGGTGAGAGGTGATGGTCAGGTTGGGTATGAGGGATAATTTCTTCTCCAAAGGGTGGTGATGCATTGACACAGCTGCACAGGGAGTCGGGGGGTCACCATTGGTGGTGATGGGTTGGGGTTGGGGATCTTGGAGGTCTTCTCCAACCTGAAAGATTCCATGATTCGATGGTTCTATGAACCTGTAGGCAGGGATGCAGTGAGAAGATACGAGGAGTGTCATGCCCAGCGTTTGGGGGATATGAGATGCCCTTGAAAGAGCAATCAAAGAAAGAAGAAGAGTTAAAAAATTGCAGATGAATGCTATACATTGCTCAGAGAATCATAGAATCGTGGAATCTCCTGACTTGGAAGGGGCCCATAAGGATCATCAAATCCAAATCCTAAATATTAAATGATAGGGAGAAGGCAATAGAAGCTCCGTGCTGCACATCTCCTAGGGAGGATCCATCTTTAGGCTGCTAATTTCCACACCAGTACCGTGATGTGGCTAAGCAGGATCTTTCTGCAGATACATCTGCATCCTAAAAATCCATGATGCGTTGCTCAGTGCATGGCCCTACCTGATCCCATAGCAGGTGCTGAGGGCCACGATGGAGCCTGGCGACCCTTCCACAAAGCCCTCATAGAAGCAGTCATCCTGCAAGGCACAAGCCAGCTGAGAAACGCATTCATAAAGGGAGAGGTGAAAATCACAGTGCGGAGTCTTTGGATAACGATGAACTGGGGGGAGGATATTTGTGGGGTTCCTCAATTTTCCTGCACCTGGATGTAGGGGAATTCGGTGATCAGCTCTCCCTTGGCACCGTACGTGTAAACAGGGAGGTCCTTGGCTACCAGATTTCTGTAAAGCAAAGCAGAAATTCAGGCTGACCCCATAAGGAACCGACTTGGAGGTGGCAGGGGAGGAACTGAGGCAGAGCCTTACTTTGCCCGAGTCAGATGGAGGACGTGGTAGCTTCCCTCTGCCGTGATTAAATAGGCCACATCATCCTGAAACACCCAAAGCGTGGCGTGATCAAATCACTTCATTCCAACCATCTCCCCTTGGGGAAACCCCATCTGGAGGTCGGTTTGGAGCTGCCCCTCTCTTTGGAGCTGGGGGCATCCCAGCTCTGAAATAGGCTTCCCAACATCATTCCCCAAAGCTCCTGACCTGCGCTGCTGCCCCGTGCCTCAGCTCCAGCTGCCTTGGCACCATCACTTCGGAGTAGATGACCCTCGATGCTCCACTAAAGCCTGGAAGAGGTTCTGCATTGGGGACCAGGGTGGGAAGCATCCCGCTACTCCCCTCTCCCTTTCCATGCAGGAGAAGGATTTTGAGGGGATTTCAAGATATGTATCAATGTCATATTAAAATTTACAGATTTTTCTGTGAGAGATGTGGAGGAGATGGGTTCAGCATCTCTCTTCACTGCTGAAACCGACTTCTAATGAAGTGTAAGATAGGAGAATCCCCACATAGGTATCTCTTTTTTTAAACTGGGGCAATTGACAGAATTTCAAGATGCTGAGCCCTGTGTGCACAACTCCTGCTTGTATCCCCCTGCCACATCCCCCTCCCACACCCCTGTCCTACCTGAGCAGAGGATCAGGGTCAGTGCCATGGCCCCTGTGCCCCCCAGGGTTGGGCATTGCCTCATCCCCATCTCTGTGACCCTGGCAGCCTGGTGAGCCCTGTTGGGGATGCAGTGTCAGCCAGACGCTCTCCCCAGTGCCCCCAGCTCCCTGCTGGCTCCAAGCCCCCACTGTCGCCATCACCCACATCCAGCCCCACACCCCACCAGCAGCCCAGTGAGGTATCTCTACTTCCTGCCCCATCTGGACCTGTTCCACTCTTACCCCATTGCCTCACAGCCTTTCCCTACCACCCTCCAACTGCCATCTGGGCTCCATCCATCACCTTCCAATGACCTGGAGCCCCTCCACCTGCCTCCTGATCCCATCCCCATCTCCATTCCATTCCATCCCATCCCACCTCCACCCCATCCCACCTCCACCCCATCCCACCCCATCCCACCCCACCCCACCCCATCCCATCCCATCCCATCCCATCCCATCCCATCCCATCCCATCCCATCCCATCCCATCCCACCTCCATCCCACCTCCATCCCATTCCTATCACTCTTCCAACTGTCACCTTGTCCTGTTCCAGCACCTCCCCCTTCTCCCTTCTTACCTCCAACTGTCACCATCCCTCTTCCACCCGCCATCCCACCCCACCCCATCCCACCCCATCTCACCCCACCCCACCCCACCCCATCCCCTCCCCACACCTCTCCCCATTTCACCCCTCCTCCAACTGCCACCTGTACCCCTTCTGCCACCCCCCGCTGTCCGTTCCCACCTCCAACTGCCACCCTCCCTCCCTCCTCACCCTGTCCCACCCACCTCTGCCCCACACAGCGCTTTCCTTCTCCCTGCAGCCCACAACCTCCTGAATTCCTGGGGCTGTTAATGCCCAAATTGTGACTGCTGATGCAGGAAATGATGCATTTTGTGCGTTCATCCTCATCTCCCATCCCTCTGTCCTCCCAGAGAGGGGACCGGGGGGGGGGGCACTGCTGGATGGGGTGCAGCCCCTCTGCTGCCCATGGGGAGGATGGATTACAGCACAAATGGGAAGATGGATGATGTGATCCGTCTGGGGTTTCATGAAGCTTTCAGTACCGTTCCTCTCATTGTTCTTTGGGTTAAAAGGTTGGCAAAACCAGGAGGTGATGGGTGGGTGGTTGGCTGATGGATTGGGCTCGGAGGGTGATGGCCAATGGGTTCCATCATGCTGGGGGCCACTCACGAGCGAGGTTCTGCAGGATCCATTTCAGGGCCAGTTCCTTAATGTTTTCATCCACGACCTGGATGCGGGGTCTGAGGTCATATTCAACAAATTTGTGGGGGACACTGAAGTGGGAGAAGTGATTGACCCCATCAGGGCTGTGCAGGGAGATCTCAACACACCGCAGGGCTGAGCAATAGGAGGCTGCAGGAAGCTCAACAGGAGCAAGAGGAGGCAGCAGGGAGACCTCATGGCCCTACAGCCCCTCATGGCCCTACAGCTTCTCATGTCCTGCAGCTCCTTGTGGCCCAACAGCCCCTCATGACCCTATGGCCCCCTGTGGCCCTACAGCTCCTCATGGCCCTATGTCCCCTTGTGACCCTATAGCTCCTCATGACACTACATCTCCTCGTGTCCCTACAGCCCCTCACGACCCTACAGTTCCTCATGGCCCTAAAGCTCCTCATGGTTCTACACCCCATCATGGCCCTATTGCTCCTCATGACCCTACAGCTCCTCATGGCCCTATAGCTCCTTATGACCCTACATCTCCTCATGGCCCTACAGCTCCTCATGGCCCTATAGCTCCTTATGACCCTACATCTCCTCATGATCCTACGTCTCCTCATGGCCCTATAGCTCCTCATGGCCCTACATCTCCTCATGGCCCTATATCTTCTTATGACCCTACATCTCCTCATGGCCCTACATCTGCTCATGGCCCTATAGCTCCTCATGGCCCTACAGCTCCTCGTGGCCCTACATCTGCTCATGGCCCTATAGCTCCTTATGACCTTACATCTCCTCATGGCCCTATAGCTCCTCATGGCCCTACATCTCCTCATGGCCCTACATCTCCTCATGACCCTACATCTGCTCATGGCTCTATAGCTCCTCGTGGCCCTACATCTCCTCACGGCCCTACATCTCCTCATGACCCTACATCTCCTCATGGCCCTATAGCTCCTCATGGCTCCTTATGACCCTACATCTCCTCATGGCCCTATAGCTCCTCATGGCCCTACATCTCCTCATGGCCCTATAGCTCCTTATGGTCCTAAAGCTACTCATGACCCTATAGCTCCTCATGGCACTACATCTCCTCATGACCCTACATCTCCTCATGGCCCTATAGCTCCTCACGACCCTACATCTCCTCATGGCCCTATAGCTCCTTGTGGCCCTACATCTGTTCATGGCCCTACATCTCCTCATGGCCCTATAGCTCCTCATGGCCCTACATCTCCTCATGGCCTTATGGCCCTTCGTGTTCTTACAGCTCCTCACGACCCTACAGCCCCTCATAACCCTACAGCCCCTCATAACCCTACATCTCCTCATGGCCCTACATCTCCCTCGTGGTCCTGCAGCTCCTCGTGGCAGCCTCAGTTCTACATCCATTTGGGAAGCATTATTTAGAAGCTGCATTATTTAGGGTTCGCACCGTAACCGCTTTCCTCTTCCGTGCGCATGGGGAAAGGAGGATTTTGGGCGTCCCTTTTGGGAAAGCATTGTGACTTTGCACTGCCACACAAATGGGCGTGGAAGGATCTGGGGGTAATTTTTGAAACCCCATGGCTCAGAAATGCTTTGCTGCACCTCGAGGCTTTACGCCCTTGTGCTCGATGTAATTCCTACTTATTTTTTTTGCTTGGCTTTGCTTTGTTTTTGTTTCACACGGAGCTGAGAGAAAGGTTTGGAGCAGAAAATGTAGGATGTGAATACAACATCTTGTAAAAACGCCGCTGCACGACCCTCTGGATGCTGCTATAATGCCATCGCTGCAGAGAACAAACAATATTAGCTGGAAGTGGTTTCTAGCTGTTAGGCAAAATGATTATATTGTCAAGTGTGATGAATGAGGGAAGCGGGGAAGGCTTTAGCATCCTATCTGCGCAGTTATTTTCCATAATGTTCTTCTGAATGCTCGCCTCTCTCTGCTGCCTGCCCTCATTTATCCCTGGAGTGCATGCGGTGCTCAGTGGCTGCCAGGAGGGCTCTGAGCCATTGGGGAGAAGAAGAAGCTTTCCAGCCAAGATGAGGTGAGGATTCCCTCTGGGCTGAGCATCCCCACAGTGTTGGGATCTGCAAAAATGACTTCAGGGGAGCAGAGCAACCTTGTAGATAGCAGAGAAGAGAGAAGAGCTGGTGCGTTAGGCCACGGTAATCTCCAGTGTGGTGATGGAGCAGAGGGCGATTATACCACGGTTGTTTTGTTTTTATGATCATCCTTGAAGAATATTAAAATGCAAAGAGAGCTGGGAGAAGAGTATTGGCACCAACTACCCAGGGAGTGCCCGTCCCTGGAGGTGTGTGAAAACCATAGAGATTGGTGGCACTTGGGGACGTGGTGGGATGGGTTGGGGTTGGACCTGGGGATCTGAGAGGTCTTTTCTGACCGTAGTGATTCTGTGATTCTGTGAAGAATCATGAGAGCAGTTAAAGATCTGGAGAATATGTATTGCAGTGAGAGCCCCTGAGCATCCTCTAATCAGTCTGATCTCTGGTATGTGAGTTTATGTGGGCAAAAGGGGTTTGGTGCCAGACCAAAAAAAAATGGGAAACGTGATCTTATGACTGGGAAATGAGTGACAGCAGAGAGGAAGTTGGGCATTGGTTCTCTGCAGTGACAGCCACAGAAAGGCCAACTGGTTGGGTGCTGTGAACGGTCTTTTGGCAACCTGGTCTGATAGCAGGTCTGGAGGTTGGTGGCCCTGCCTGTGGCGGGGGGGTTGGAGCTTGAGGATCGTAGAATCATATCATAGAATGATAGAATGGCCTGGGTTGCAGAGGAGCACAATGATCAGCTTGTTCCAACCCCCTGCTGTGTGCAGGTCGCCAACCAGCAGACCAGGCTGCCCAGAGCCACATCCAGCCTGGCCTTGAATGCCTGCAGGGATGGGGCATCCACAGCCTCCTTGGGCAACCTGTTCCACTGCCTCACCACCCTCTGGCTCAAAAACTTCCTCCTCACATCCAGCCTAAACCTCCCCTGTCTCAGCCCCTTGGGGTCTCTTCCAACCCAAACCATTCCATGATTCGGTGATTCTGCCCAGAGGCAATGTTCAACTTT